GCTAAGTCGAAGATTATAACGTTACGGCCAACAAAGCATGAAAAGTCTATGGTTGAAAATTTCACTTCTGGAACACCAACTTTTCAAGATTCAATTGAATGCAAAACAGCAGAATCAGTAGTAACAACAAAATGCCATTGTACTTGGCCATTAACAACTAAAGCTTCCACTATTCGAAAAAACACTAGAGCTTTCGAGTTTGAAGCCCAATATATATTGAACCTTAAATTGATATCTTGGTTTTTTTTCCAGAAAGGAAATTAACTTCTTTTTTTTTTTAAGTTTCTGCAATTTTGTTTTAATGCTTTGTAAACGACGACATTCTAACTTTTAAAAATGCGTTCATATTAAGTAATTAAATCGCGCTTTTGGCTATGCGGAGGAGAGGAGAGTGGTGTCGTTTTAATGACAGCATGAGTTGAAGAACATGTGCAGTGTGCCTCCTTATCTAGTTTTTCTTACCATTGAATTTCTGCTATATAACGACAACGAGGGGCAGGAGACAAGCAAGTTATATATCAGTAATTTGTAGTGTAGCTATGGTAGTTAATATAGTTACTTTTCTTTGCTTTGAGTCCGAGTTTTATTATGAGTTGTAAGAACCCTAATACTCCATTTTGAATTTGAGATTTCAATTGAGTTTCCTTTCAATTTCTGAGTATTTTATGTTTCAAAATTCAGTGTTCATAACAAGAAATGTTGAAGGAATCTTTGGGCTATGCATGAGTATTGACATTGGAAAAGAATAAAGAAAATGATTTGAGGGGAGAGAGAGAGAGAGAGAGAGAGAGAGAGAGATGCGTGAAAGATTTGCACTAGGATTACTTGATAAAGAAATAAAGAGCATTGGATTTGATTTAGTTTCTGACAGGCTTTGATGTATATATATAATTGTGTGTGTGTGTGTGTGTGAGAGAGAGAGAGAGAGAGAGAGAGAGAGAGAGAGAGAGAGAGAGAGAGAGAGAGAGATTATGGCAATGCGTTCTAAAATTGTGATGGAAGTAATTTGGGAGGTATATTTTGCTCTAGTTTCATCATATAATAAAAGAAAAAACTACAGTTTTCATTCTTCAAGTGAGCATTAAGTTCATATTTGATCCATCATGTTCACAGAAAATGCATTTGACCTCTCATGTTTTGAAAATTCAACATTTTAAATCATTTCCATCAATTTTTCGTTAGTACTAACGGAATCAAACTTATACCGATGACTTCCTTAACTGACAAACTAGCGGTAAATTGACGAAAATGACCAAAAGTGGTAAATTATTGAAACACAGATGGATCAGATATGTTCTTTTGTGAACATGAAGACCAAATATGTTCTTTTGGGAACATGGAGACCAAATGTGATGAAATCAATGCAAACTTGAGGGATAAACTGTAATTTTCACTATTTTAAGATTGTGAGAAATATAATTTGGGAAGGTGCATTTGCCCTAATTCCATCATATTCAAGCTGACGTGATAAAATTATGTAATTAACATACTATTGAAATGGTTTGAAAATTTGCATTTACATTTACATTCAACTCTTACCCTCTTTTAATACAGAGGATAATCTTATCTGTGTAGAATCTCTTTTATTTATACATACATATATGTGCATATATATAGATATACAACATCTCATTAATTCAGAAAAGTGTGTTTCAATATTTTTTTCACCTCAGACAACAACTTGAGCTGCAGCCAGCCTTGCAATAGGCACCCTGCAAAAATATATAATCAGACAAAAATAAACCCACAAAAGTTTTCATTATCCGACAAGAAAACAAGATTCGACTCTTCGTAATAATTTTTCACTTTCGAGATACCTAAAAGGAGAGCAAGAGACGTAATCGAGTCCAGCTTCGGCAAAGAAGGCCACAGAAGAAGGCTCACCACCATGCTCTCCACATATTCCCACCTGCACATTTACTTTCTTATTATTCAAGAAATTCAAGAAACACACACAAACGCACACATGGATGTGTGTTTTTGAATCTGTCGACGAAAGATGTTTAAAACATTTGGAAAAAAAAAGAAAAAAATGGGTACAAATTATGTAACCTTGAGGTTAGGTCTAGCTGCACGGCCTCTTTCCGTTGCCATTTTGATGAGCTGTCCAACGCCCTTTTGGTCAAGAACCTAATTTCAATAGATCATTAAATATACGAAAAATAAAAACCAAAAATCAAATAAAATCTTTATAGTAGCATGAGAAATGACTAACAAATTACCTCGAATGGATCGTTTTGGAGAATGCCCTTAGCCAAGTAAATAGGAAGAAATTTGCCTACATCGTCTCTGCTATATCCAAATGTCATCTGTGTGAGATCGTTTGTCCCGAACGAGAAAAATTCTGCCTCCACTGCTATCTAAACCGTGTAAAATTATTCGAAAAAGAATATTAAGTCTCAAAAATCAAGAAATATTCGGAAATACCAAGTGATTGTTAACATTTAATATACCTCATCTGCAACTAAAGCAGCTCTAGGAATTTCAATCATGGTGCCAACTTTGTAGTTCAACGAGGTTCCCATCTCCGAGAACACTTTCTTCGCCACCCCACGAATCAAACTCACCTGGTGACTCAATTCCTGCCGAATATTTTCAGTTGAATTATTATCAAGTAGACGAGAAATAAACTATAAAAATACAAATACATATTTAACTATTTATTTATATATATGATGTTGACATGCCTGAGGTGTTCCGATAAGAGGGACCATAATCTCCGGCAGGACTGTATAACCCTGGTTGCTCAACAAGATTGCCGCCTGAAATATTGCACGCACCTGCATTTCCGTCAGCTCTGGGTACGATATTCCAAGCCTGCAAAATTCCCATTGCAAAAAAATAAAAAAAATATATATATATTTATATACAAGAGGGTTAAATAGATCAAAATCTTGCAAATATGCAATTACTGCCTGAACTAGAGCCATAGCCCTCACCGTTTCTCAAGAACTCTATTATTCTATATAAACATTTGTTAGTTTTCGAGGAGTGTACTATTATCTGCCCCTTAGGATACTTTTTTATATATATATTTAGTCCCCCACGAGTATAAATTCCTAATTAAGTAAAATACCTGCATCCACGGAATCCAAGCATCGGATTAACTTCAGATAATTTCTCGATTCTCGTATAAACTTCATCTTCAGTCATGCCAGTATCAACTGTTAGTTCTCCGACAATTTGCTCTATGTCACCTTCCGGAAGAAATTCATGGAGTGGAGGGTCGAGTAGTCGGATCGTCACCGGAAGACCTAATAAATTTACAATTCATTTTACATATATATCATCTTGTGTAGTTGTCTACGCTTGTTAATAAATATAAATATAAGATACCATCCATTGCACGAAAGATGCCCTCGAAATCGGCTCGTTGATAAGGCAACAACAAGTCTAAAGCCGCCTTCCTCTGTTCGACTGTTACTGCCATTATCATCTTTCTTACAGCTTTAATCCTCTCATCAGAAGCAAAAAACTGACAAAAAAATGGAATTAATCAAATTATGTTACATACAAAAAGCTGATTATAAAAAGTTCGAAAACTACATAAAAGAAAAATTACCATGTGCTCTGTCCTACACAAACCGATGCCTTCAGCTCCGTTATTCCGAGCTGTAAGTGCATCTTCAGGTGTATCAGCATTTGCCATGACCTACATATACATGTATATTATATATTATATGCTTCGAACATAAATTAGTGACCGCGGTTTAGTTTTTTTCCGATATTTTATCACACAAAAAATGATATAAAAATTTAAAAGTACCTTGAGCCGCCTAATTTGATCAGCCCAAGCCATGAAAACCTCCAAATCACCGGTCATAGCCGGAGGTGCAAGCGGCTGTTTTCCGAATATCACTTCACCCGTAGATCCATTAAGCGACATCCAATCTCCTTCTTTAACTACTTTATCTCCCACCAAAACCACCTACATTATCAATCATTAAAATTAAAAAATATATATTTAAAGTAATTTTCAATTTTTTCTGTCCTCATTCCAAAATCATAGCCTAAATATTGTGTATATTTATTTATTAACACGAACCTTCTCGGATTCATTTACACGTATATCGGGGCAGCCGGAGACACAACATTTTCCCCAACCGCGAGCCACCACCGCCGCATGAGATGTCATGCCACCTCTAGCGGTCAAAATTCCGACAGCTGCATGCATCCCACCTACATCTTCGGGGCTCGTTTCGGTTCTTACCTTTACAGGTATTAAAAAAATAAAAAAATCGATATACATCAAATAAAGAATGATGGATAGTACATTGAAACACAATAACCAAGAATTATAATATAGTCCCTCTGTTTAAAATTAACTGTCTGCTTTCGAGAACTTTTCTTCTGCCATAATGTCTGTCACTTTAGAATACTTTAGAATTTCAATGATGCATTGGTTATCATTTTCTCAATTTTGCCCTTGTCACTCTTAATTAGTTAGTCGAAATAGAATTAATGGGAAGGGTATTTTAGTCACATTATATGGGTTTTTTCTTCCTAAAATCCATGCATATTAATTAGTTTTCTTAATATATGTGTACCAACCCAAAACGACAGTTTGAATCTGAGGCAGTAAACATATTTAAAAAATCCAAAATCAGTGAAAAATAAGAAACGAGAACATTGGATAATCATACCAAGATAACAGTCTTTCCTTGTGCATGCCATGTTTCTGCATCTTCAGCACAGAACACAACCTGTCCAACTGCCGCTCCGGGAGAAGCAGGCAATCCCTTGGCTAGTACGTGGTCTTTGTAAGAAGATGGATCCTCAAACTATCAAGAAAAAAAAAATAATTCCATATATTAAATTATTATACAGCCTATTTATTTCCATACTTACAGATATAATTTTGGGTTTATTGCGTTTATCACCCCTGTTTTTTAATCTACTTGTTAAAAAAAAACCCCGTGTTATTAATATTAGCACCAAAAAAAAAACGGCATGCATTTGTTTGCAAACCACCCCTAAAACCTCATCATCTAGGGCCTCCGTGCTGCAATAAACTCGTCTATTTTTTATGGAAAATTATAATAATCAAATGGGAATTAAATAGTTCTTGTACCTGCGGATGAAGAAGCTGGTCAAGATGCTGAGGCTCCACCATCTTCACCACACTTCGAGTATCAACGAGACCTTCGTTCACCATGTCCACAGCTATTCTTACAGCTCCTTTACCCGTTCGTTTCCCTGATCTACACTGTAGCATCCATAGCCTATTTTCTTGTACAGTGAATTCAATGTCCTGTACATTTTCAAAATTCGATTGTTATACAGTGTTAATCATTTCAATGCGTATGGAACTAAAAATATTATTACCATCATATCTTTGTAGTGTCTCTCTAATATCTCACAATTCTCCACGAGCTCCTTGTAAGCCTCGGGCATACAGTTCTTCATCGTATTCAAATCCTCCGGTGTTCTAATTCCCGCCACAACGTCTTCTCCCTGATCATTAATTGTTATATATAGAATAAAGTTTTTTATATGAATATAATTTAAGTTACAACATGTATCGTAAAGGGCCTCAATTTAAAACTCGTTTCAGGCAACAAAATAGCTTAAGACGGCCTTCAATATCAACATAAATAGAAAAGATAAAAGAGTAATCAAGATTCAAGAACCTGAGCATTAATTAAGAATTCCCCATAGAGCTTGTTTTCGCCGGTACTAGGATTCCTTAATAAGAGAACACCTGTTCCTTGAGGTATTTCCCATGTTTCCAAATACCATGCACTGAAT